TTTTTTTTTATTATTTTTAAACCGGCGCGCATCGCCCAGCAACCAAGCGCCGCCCACTGACCTACTTCTAAAATTAAAATTAAACCCTTTCTCCGCCGCCACGACCGCGGGGCTGTGTCACCGCGTCACCCTCACCCCCTAACGTCTGCCATCCCTCCGCTTCTCCCCCCAAAAAAGCCGCTCCCGGCGCATTTGTGGGCGCTTTCCCCTCCCTGCGGTAACGCACACAAGATGGCGGGCGGGGGCGGCGGTGCCGTTCAAACCCGCGGGCCCGGCCCCTCCCGTCCCAGCCTGCCCCGCGCTTTTCTAACGAATTTCGGTTCGAGTTCGCCGTTTCGGCGCCATTTTCGAGTGTGGAAGCGGCCGAGCTTCTACAGCARCCGGAGTCGCCCGCGCTGCCGCCGCCTCGCCGGGGCAGGGAGCCGCCGGGACGAGCAGGTACGAGCTCGGCGSGGGGAAGCGATGGCGGTTCGCCTCAAGGCGGTGGGGTTGGGGGGGCTGCGCGGCGGAGGAGGTGCCCTCACGGAGCTGCCCCGGGCAGGGGGAGCTGAAAGGAAGGTGCCGAGGGGGAAAAGGTGGCTGCTGAGAGGAAAGGCTGGGGGTGCTGAGGAGGAGATAAGGACTGTGGGGGAGACAAGGTTGGAGAGGGGGAGACAAGGGGTGTTGAGGGGAAGATGTCGAGGGGAAAGGTTGGGGGTGTTGAGACAAGACAGGGGGTCCTGAGTGGGGAGACAGGGGATGCTGAAGGGAAGGTGCCGAGTGGGATGGCAGGGGGTGCTTAGGAGAATGCAGGGGGTGCTCAGGTGAAGGCAGGGGCTGCTGAGGGAACGGCGAGTTSTGCCCCGCGCCTTATTTCCCCACTTCCCTCCTCGCCCGGAGGGTGCAGAAGCGGCGGCAGCGCCTCTCCCCGGGCCGGGCTGCCCCGCCGAGGATCCCCCTGAGGGCTCCGGGCACGGCGGGTCCGTCCCGGCTGCTGTCGCCTCAGCGGTTCGAGGAGCGGTCCCAGAGGGGTTTTGCAGCCCGAGGTTCCCGCTGTGCCCTTAGGGACCCGGGGGGAGCGCGGCTCCGAGATCCGCGGGGCACGGGCAAGTTCAAGGCCGCGTTTCGGTAGCGGAGAGACCCGATTTTAATMTGCTTAGAGCAGGGACCCTTCCAGCACTGGCTCTGCCTGCTGCTTTGGTGCTTGAAGGATGAGAGAAAAATCCCGAGAAAGCCTTAAACGATTGGCCGTTCACTTAAAAGAGTTGGACTGGATGATCCGTGTGGGTCCTTTCCARCTCGGAATATTCTKGGATTCTGTGACTTGGAAAGAGCGTGACAAGGGTGCAGTTGGGCTCCTTCGGCTTTAAAAAAGCGCCAGATTTGTCGCTGACAGGGCTTGTCGCTATCAGATTTAATCGGCGGTTAATAAGGAAGCTTTTCTGTCCGTCTCTGGCTCTTTTTTTCGCTATCCCCGTAAGAAAAACGGCGCTTGGCAGGAGAGATGCTTTTACCAAACACCTTCGAGCTGGCTCGGGGGAGGGGCTGGGCACGAATTTGTTAAATTTGTTAGAGACTATGTGGCAGCTAATTTATCGCGATTTAAAAGCTGAGGTCAAGTAGTTCGGCTTGTTCATTCTGTTGAAGTATCCGACGGGGGGAAGGGTTGGGAAGGTAAATAGGTCTATATTGCACAATTCTCTTGGAGTGGAGCAGTTTGGAAAAAAAATAATAAATAAATGTGGTGCTTTGAGAGGCTGTAATTGTCTGAGACAGCCATTGCGGAAMAGTTCTGAACGGGGGCATAGACTCAAATTGCCTGAAAATGAGTTCTGTCTCTCATTTCCCCCCTCCCCCATTGTCCCAAACGAAGGACTCTCATGAGAGTGTGGGTTGGGGGTAGGTCTGAAAACGTCAAATGATTGGCACCAATTGTAAGATGACTTTCTAACCACGTCAGTTTTTTATCTTGTGAGAAGTAAACTTTCTCATGTCTGTTTTTCTGCGAGCTCACTTCGCCACTTGCTGCGATTTCAACTCTTTGGGGAGAGTTTCGCTCCTCACTCGTCTTTTCTTATCGGGTGCTCTCTCCACCCGTTTGGGGAGCTGTGCTGAAGTGCCAGCTGATGGCTTTTGTAATGCTCGTCCTTGCTCAGTTCACTTTTACATCCCAACTAAATGAAGGTATTTCGTTTTGCTTTCTCTGTGAAATGTTGAGTGCTGGCAGAAGGGGTTGTGTTGTATTTTGTGAGCCGGGTGTGTTGATTTAAATTATTTAAGAGTTAAGTCTTTGCTATAATTGCGCAGCTCTTTTGTTTCTCTCTGTTGATCGGTCTCTATATATGCATACAAATATTTAGCACGGATTAGTTAAAGTAAAACGACTGTCAGGTCTGAAATATAATGAGTTCTTCCAGGAGGGTCCAGACGTGTGGCTCCTCGGTTGTTATTTAATGTGTCTTTAACTCTTTTGCCCCCAGCACCACGGTGGCTTTCAGTGAGCAAAGTCACCGCCCTGGCCGTGTCCTTGAGTTGGCAGCAGGTAGATCCTTGTTGTTAATACAGATTAGGCTCAGCCCCTCTTTTTGGGGGGTGATGCATCTTAAAYTATATCATTACGAAGCTGATCTCGCTATTTTCTTCCAAATTGGGATTTTTGTCTTCTAAATACCTCCAGTTTTAAGTTTCCAAATGAGTCAAACATCTGGGCAGAGGTGTAGGTGAATTCCTTGGGGAGTTGTAGCTCAGTGCTGCTGAGGTCACGGGGTTTTCTTGTTTGTGTTAGCAAAGGAGATAGAGCCCTTCGGTAGTTTGATTGCTTGGAATGGAAGGGAAGAAGCCAACAGGGACCATGCCAAGCAAGAGCACCAAAACCTCCACGGCAGCCCGTCGGAAGGGCAGGGAGCCCTTGGAGGAATCCTCCAGTGACATGGAAGTGGAAAATGAAGGCACCAGGGAGCCTGCAGAAAATGAAGGCACCAGGGAGCCTGCAGAAAATGAAGGTACCAGGGAGCCTGGCAAAGCACCTCCTCAAGGTACGTCTGCTCTGTGGTGGTGCTGATCGAGCCTCCTTTGCAGCAACTTGAATTTGCCAACTGTTCCAGATGGGATTTGCTTTTTACCCTTTTCCAAAGCAATGCTGAAACCCCTGGCAAATGGAAACTGCTTTTTAATGGTCAAAAGAGCTTGCAAAGAGTTAAAGGGTTTGGCCCAGTACAAGTGCAAAAGCAATTTGTAGACTTGCTCCTAATAAAGCCTATTTCGGAGCCCTGATCTGGAACATTGTACTTAAGGCTGTGGTACAACAGCAGGATTTTTCAAATTTATAGGCAGCCAATGGTATGGGATTTCTTGGAATGGAATAAATGTCAAGTTTATTTACTTAACTCTTAAAATGATTTGACTTTCTTTTTCATGAAGCAGTGTATTTTGTTGAGTTCCTTGAGTTGAGCTTTCGCAGAAAAAATCTGAAAAACCAGCAGCTGTGTGACTTTGTAGGTAGCCAGATATGCAGTCTTGAAGGCAGGTATTTGACAGATAGATGAATACATTGAAATTGGAGGCAAAAACCGCTGCCTGTTTGAAGAAGGAGTTGCTGGTGCTTGGGGAAAAGCTGCTTTGCTGTTATCCAGGGGGCCAGTTTGTTTTCGTAACAAACTTCCTGTCTTTGCAGAGCAGCCGTGCTGTCATTGCAGCTTTCAGAGCCTCGTGCAGAGATCCCCAAATCTTGCACAGCGGCTCTGGAGCACGCCTGAAATGTGGCTTTGCACTTATTAATTAGAAAGGCTTTGCCTGCTTCACATTTGCAGATTTATTGTGATGGTTGGAGCTGTTGGAATTGCAGGGGGCCTGTTAAAGTGTGTTGGAATAAGAATTACATAATGAAAGAACAAACCCAGCGATGGGACATCTTTAGTAGCTCTTAAAAAACATTCAGTTTGTGGAAAGAAGAATTTTAATTTCACTCAGCTCAAATTAATAATTACAGGCCAAAATGTAGCTTTGGTTCAGACAGAAGTGATGTTTGCTTTTTCGGTTGAACATTTTAAAAGGTATCAAATCATTGAGAGCTTACAATTTTGTATTTTTTTTTTATCTTTCTGTTTGCTTGGATGGGTTTTAGCAGCCTCAGATGAGGTGGTGGATAATCGAAGTTTAGAAGAGATTTTGGGTAGCATCCCTCCTCCCCCACCTCCAGCAATGACCAGTGAACCTGGTGCTCCTCGGCTCATGATCACTCACATTGTAAACCAGAACTTCAAATCCTATGCAGGGGAGCAAACTCTGGGACCTTTTCACAAGGTATCTTTCTTTTACCTTAAGTAGTTTGGAAATGAAGGTAAGGCTTCACTGGGTGGTATTATTCCTTCCTGTATTTTCATCTAAGCTGACCTCAA